AATCTTGGGAAACCTCAATACCTTTTGCTCTTCCTTGCTGTTCCATATGTTTGGATTCTTCTCTGAAATAAATTCCAAACATCAAGGAAGGTCCATTATCTAAAACTGCAGACACTAACTGATGGAAATCATGGGGGGTAGCTCTAGCATTAGAAGCCCAAGTCCTTATCATTTCCTTTACATATGCATTGTGCAAGCCAAAATTAACAACAGCTTGCTTAATTTCTTTCAGATCATTCATTGCTATTGGCGTCCATCTAGCTTCTCTGACTCCCTTTGAGCCTTTAGAAGTTGATGCTTTTTCAGAATTAAGTATAGGGTATGTCGCTAGAACCCTGGGTAAGCCAGTTCTAATAGCTGGTGGAGGCATTGTATCCTGTCCTTGTGCCTCCTTACTCTGTTCACCAGCTGCAATAATTTCCCCAATCTTTTCAAATATTTTTATCATTGTCTCTCTTAAATCCTGAATCTCCTGACCTGTATATATTTCCAGTGATTTCACTGAGGTATCAATTTTTTGGTTCCCATTCTGCACCTGTGATTCCAAAGCTTTAATTTTTTCCTTCAAAGATAACATGTCCTCCCTAAACTTTTCTTGTATATCATGTAGATTCCCATCTTGGAGGTACATTCTGTCTGTTACCTTATCAAAACTTTGTGATAAAGTCTGAAGGTCAAATTCAACAGCCTGAACCCTTTCAGGTAACTTTCTAATACCCTTGGATATGGAATCAATTTTGTCTGTCATAGTATCCACTTGTTCAGATAACCTCTGATTTTCAATAATTTTAATCCTGTCAACTAGTTGTTCATTATTAGTTCGTAAAGATTCTATCATTCTTAGGAGTGCCATATTCTTCTGTTCATTATTAGTACGTAAAGATTCAATCGTTCTTAGGAGTGCCATATTCTTCCTTAATGATAGAATATGGAAAAGAAAACTGAGGCCTAGTAACAAGCAAATTAAGGTATCCCCATAATCATATAAACCTTGTATGATGTAATTCATTGTATTAGTAAATATAAGTTTACTAATCCATTGTATTAGTGAAAACAAAGCAGTAAAATTTGCGTTAGAAACGAAAACTGCCATATTACCTATTATCCAGCAGGTGGCGCTGTTGCAGAGTCGTGGTGAAAACATGGTCCTGTTTCAGTGCCTTAGTAGATGTTAAAAACTGGAAAATGCAAGTTTCTCAATAAAGTAAATGTAATTAAATCAATTCCTGAGACGGAACCAGAAACCCAGAATCCAGGGGTAGAGAAGAGCAATCTGGAAGCCGCTTATGCCTCCATGTGACAGAGTCACCCTGAGGGGTTGCAGCTTTCAGCAACCGCGTGCTCTGGTTCGTGCCACTTAAGAGCTGTACTTGTAAGGGAGATTTAAAAATGACTCAGAAAAGAGCAAACCACGCGGGCAGAGACTATGCGGGCCTGTGGAGTTTAAATCCACGTGGGGAGTCCAAGGCCACCGCTGCAAGGCACAGGCGGCGGCTGAGGAAGGGAGGGCTCCCGCCTAGCCAAACTCGCGGCTGCCAAGCCAGACTCGCTGCCGCCAAGCCGAACTCGCGGCCGCCAAGCCGAACTTGTGGCCGCCAAGCCGAACTCGAGGCTGCGAGCGGGGAAAGGAGAGGTTCTGAAACCAAACGTTGGGTGCCAAAATGAAGGCGTAAGTCACAAACAATGCCACACCAATTCGGGGTTATGATTATTAGGGTGGTATTTATTTAAAGGGGAAAAAACTTACAGATCACTGTCCCAGGCAACAGCCCTCTATGCAACCAGGAAAGGAGTCTAGTCGCCGGCGGAACAGGAAGTGAAGAGAGAGAGGAGAGGGAAGTGGCCGCTTTTTTAAAGGGAAAGAGACCACGCCCCAATGGGCTGGTATCTCAGCGGTGATAGGCTGGAGGAGTGGGAGGACCTCCTGCAACGGGGGGGGGGGGGGGGGGGCGTTGGGAAGTGGGGAGGAAGGGGAAGCAAATAAACAAAATTAATAGATATCTGAGTAAGTGTGGTGGCACATCCCTTCGGTCTTAGCATTCAGGGGACAGAGGCAAGAGTGTTAGTATTACTGCAAGTTCAAAGTCAGCCTGAACTTCTCAGCGAGTTCAAAGCCTTGGGTTTGTAGTTCAGGGCTTGAGCATGTTCTGAGCAGTGGAATCAATTGCCAGAATCACATATGCATATATGCATGCACAAACACACAACCATGCTTTTGTACATGTAGAAAGGTAGCAAAGGAAAAATCTTTCATTTAGTCATTAGGGAATTGCAAGTGAAAAATACAAAGGGCATTAGATATCAGCAATATGATTGACTAGGAAGTCTCTCCTTACTCAGGGGGACACTGATTCTATAGTGATAGGGGCAATTCCTCCTAGGAAATCTAGAAGTCAGTTAATATACATTACTACAGACCAGCTTCATGGAAGCCTCATGGGAGATTGTGGTACCAACTATTTGCTAGCTTAGAATGATATGATCAGGAGAAAACTCTCAGATCCTACTTCTCCCTGGGGAGGGAGAGAGGTAACTAAAACACACGTTCAGGACTTAGAATTTCAGGAGATGATGACTGTGATGCTGAGCAGGGGCAGGAAGGGGCAGCAGCTAAGGGATGCTAAGAACACAGGCAAAGTTTAGGCAACATGCCCTTGCCTGTGTGCAATGTGATCAGAAGAGCCTGGAACTCAGAAGTGTAACACTTGCCTAACTTAACTGAAGCAATTGGCTATGGCTGTAAGCCCAAGAAAAGAGGAGAAAAAGAAAACCCTGTGAAATGAACCAACTGTATACACCACAGCAATCTGGAAAGGAAACTAAAAGAAAAATCTTGTTTATGACTACTTAAGAAGAAGAATCCCAGTGGGAAACTGGGGTGAATCAAAAGGGAGCAAGAGGTAGGGGTATGAATATGATCAAAGTATGTGATTTACACACATAAAGATGCCACAATGAAACACACTCCTAGACTGCAGGTAAAGCCCAGTGTTATACAGCCCTTTCCTAGTATGCAAATGGATCCCAGCCCTAGTGCCCCCCCACACACACCAAAACAAATCACATTTTTTTGGCAAAATTCACATATGCTAATAAAAATGAAAAACCTCTGAAAATAGTCAGAAAACTAGGAATATAAAACAACCTCTTGAACAGTGGTGAGAAAACTGGATGGCTAAATAGACATCAGAAGAGGGAAACCAGCCTGCCTCTCACCTTGCACAAAAATCAAATAAAAATGGACCAAAGGCCTTAACATAAGACCTGAGGTTGCTAGAGGAAGACACAGATCTGGAGACTTTAAGATCAAGGGATTGGCAAAACCTTTCTGAGCAGGATTCTAGCAACACAGGAAATGACCCTTAGGTTGAATGACAGATGGGGATTACAGGAAATTTGAAGCCTCTGCTCAGCAAGCAAAGTCTTCACCAATGTGAAAAGACAGTCCACAGGATGCAGAAAACACTCCTGCCAAACGCACATCAGATAGGTCATCACTAATATTCAGAATAATAAAGGATTACAAAAATTTAACACCAGTCCCCCAAACCATCCAATCAATAAGTGAGCTAACAAGTGGAATACACAATATCTAAGAAGTATAAATGGCCAGTAAATATGAAATGATAGGTTCATTATCATTAGCCCTCATTCAAATGCAAATTAGGATGTCTTTGAAATTCTACTATCAGAATGGCTATCATCATGAAAACAAATAACAACAAATGCTGATCAGGGCATATAAAAAGATAAACCCTTGTAACTAGTTCAGCCACTATGGAAGTCAGTGGTAAGTTCCTCATAAAAATAAGAATAGAGGGCAGGGATACTGCTTAGTTGGAAAAGGCACTTGATGCCAACCCAGAAAAACTGGATTCAATCCCAGGGATCCACATGGTGGAAGAGATAACTGACCCTCACAAGTGATCCTCTGACCTTGAGACACGTGCTAAACATAAACGCATGACAGAGAAATATTCGATGTGACCTTATAAAATCTAAAAGTAGAATTACTATATGACCCAACTCTACCACTCCTGGATATATACCTAAGCACTCTTAAATCATCTTACTACGGAGATATACATGCACACCTATGTTGTTGAAGCTCTGTTCACAATAGCACTGGGATTTTTTTTTGGTTTAAGTAAAAATGAAATCATGACATTTCCTGGAAAATGCCTGGAATTAGGGATCATTACAGACTCAGACTGTCTCAAAAAGACAAATACCATATTCTGCTCATTTGCAATCTAGACTTAAGTTGTTTGCCCTTCTCTCTCTCTCTCTCTCTCTCTCTCTCTCTCTCTCTCTCACACACACACACACACACACACCACATACACACCATGTGTGTATTAAGTGGTGGTGGGTTGAAAAAGAGGAAAACTGCATATTAGCAGAATGAAAGAGACCATCGAGGGAAATGGGAAAGGAATATGGGGAAGGGGATGAATAAGAGCAAATAAAAATGATATAGGCCTAAAATGCTACAATGAAACTTTGTATGCTAACTTTAAAATTAATTAAAATTTTGCTAAAGAATATGATACTGAGGGAAAATTTTAAGGAGGAAAACAACTTATGCATGGAAAACTGCAAATTATCATTAAAATAGACTTTAGACAAAACCAATAGAAGAATAGTCCATATTCATGGATGGGCAGACTCTGCATTGCTAAGACATCTCTGCTATCCCAGCTCTTTCAGACCTCCAATTACATCTTTGAAGGAAGAGAAAAATCAGTCTTTGAAATTCATATTATATATATTATATATATGATATATGATATATATGATATGATATATATGATATGATATATATGATATATGATATATATGATATATAATATATATCATATATAAAGGATCCTGAATATTATTGAGATATCTCTCTGTTTCTCTTTCTCCCTCCCCCATTTCCTTTTATTTATTTACTTCAAAGAAAGACCCCAATTCTTTTTTTTTTGAAGTTTTATAATTATATTTATGTACAGAAAACTCAGCAGTACATTTAACCCAGTTTAGTGGCGAGTTCTTTGGCCTTTGCCTTTTCCAGCTTGGCAATTCGAGCCACAGATTTAGGACCCAGGACGTTGCCTCCCCAAGGGCAGCGGATCTCATCATATCTGCTGTTGTCATTGGTCCTAATAGCTTCCACCAGCTTGGCCAGAGCACCCTTTTCTTCTGAGTTAACCTGTGTGAAGGCAACAGTGGTGAGCGTCATCCTATGGACCAGCCGCCCTAGCCTGGCCTTTCCCTTGATGATGCAGTAGGGGACCCCCATCTTAAGACACAGAGCAGGCAGGAAGACCACCAGCTCAATGAGGTCTACGTCGTGGGCAATCACCACCAGCTGAGCCTTCTTATTCTCTACCAAAGTGGTGACTGTATTGACGCCCGCTCGAAGGACAGGTGGTCTCTTAGTCGGGACATCCCCTTTGCCGGCAGCTTTCTTCTCAGCATGGGCCAGCAGCCTCTGCTTCTTTTCCTGCTTGGTCTCTGGCCTGTACTTGTGGGCAAGTTTAAGCAACTGGGTAGCTGTTTGCCGGTCCAGGGCTTGGGTGAACTGGTTAATGGCAGGAGGAACTTTGAGCCGCTTATAGAGAATGGCCCTCTGCTGCTGCAACCTCATCAGGCCATTTGACAACGTGTGTGAGATCTTTCTTGGGCTGGATGTCCTACCCAATGCCGAAGTTCTTCGGCCTCTTCTCAAACAAAGGATTCACCACCTTCTTCGCCTCCTGTTTCTTCACGATGGCGGGGCCAGGGTGACCTTCTTCCCCTTGGCCTTCTTTCCCTTGGGCATCTTGCCGGGCTGGAGGAAAGAGCAAGACCCCAATTCTTGAAACAATAACCAACCATAAAAAAAGAACAGAGTTTTAGCTTCTCTAGGAACATGAATTATAAGCTCAATGTCCTTTATTTATGGCTAGAAACCAAATATGAGTGAGTACATCCCATGTTCCTCTTTTTGGGTCTGGCTTACCTCACTCAGGATAGTGTTTTCTATTTCCATCCATTTGTACGCAAAATTCAAGAAGTCCTTGTTTTTTACTGCTGAGTAATACTCTAATATGTATATATTCCATACTTTCTTCATCCATTCTTCCATTGAAGGGCATCTAGGTTGTTTCCAGGTTCTGGCTATTACAAACAATGCTGCTATGAACATAATTGAGCATATACTTTTGTTGTATGATAGGGCCTCTCTTGGGTATATTCCCAAGAGTGGTATTGCTGGGTCCAGGGGTAGGTTGATCCCGAATTTCCTGAGAAACCGCCACACTGCTTTCCAGAGTGGTTGCACAAGTTTGCATTCCCACCAGCAATGGGTGAGTGTACCCCTTTCTCTACAACCTCTCCAGCAAAGGCTATCATTGGTGTTTTTTATTTTAGCCATTCTGACAGGTGTAAGATGGTATCTTAAAGTTGTCTTGATTTGCATTTCCCTGATCGCTAATGAAGTTGAGCATGACCTTAAGTGTCTTTTGGCATTTAGAAGGTGAATCCAAAGACAGACACATAGGCATCCTCATGAATATTAACCTTCATTAGGCGATGAAAGGAGACAGAAACAGAGACCCACATTGGAGCACCCGACAGAAATCTCAAGGTCCAAATCAGGAGCAGAAGGAGACGGAGCACGAGCAAGGAACTCAGTACCACGAGGGGTGCACCCACACACTGAGACAATGGGGATGTTCTATCGCGAACTCACCAAGGCCAGCTGGCCTAGGTCTGAAAAAGCATGGGATAAAACCGGACTAGCTGAACATAGCGGACAATGAGGAATACTGAGAACTGAAGAACAATCGCAGTGGTTTTTGATCCTACTGCACGTACTGGCTTTGGGGGAGCCTAGGCAGTTTGGATGCTCACCTTATGAGACCTGGATAGAGGTGGGCGGTCCTTGGGCTTCCCACAGGTCAGGGAACCCTGATTGCTCTTCGAGCAGATGAGGGAGGGGGACTTGATCGGGAGAGGGGGAGGGAAATGGGAAGCGGTTGCGGGGAGGAGGCAGAAATCCTTAATAAATAAATAAAAATAAAAAAGCATCTAAAAATAAAATAAATAAATAAAATAAAAGTACCCCAGGGGGCTGGAGAGATGGCTCAGAGGTTAAGAGCATTGCCTGCTCTTCCAAAGGTTCTGAGTTCAATTCCCAGCAACCACATGGTGGCTCACAACCACCTATAATGGGGTCTGGTGCTCTCTTCTGGCCTGCAGGCATACACACAGACAGAATATTGTATACATAATAAATAAATAAATATTTAAAAAAAAGAACAGAGTTAAAGCACCAGAGGCTTCACACATCTTTACTTCAAAACATCAACCCCTTCCAGACCTATGTTAATCACAGTAGTGCAACACTGACACGAGGACATTCACACAAACCAGAGCACCCAGAAATCGGCCCACAGAATTATATAATCTTGACAACAGCTTCAAGATACTATGGTAGGAGAAAGATCTCTTCAACAAATGGTGTTGGGAAAGAAGAATGTGCACAACAAAAGGATAAAACTTGACTCCTACATCAAGTACCCCCCTCCCCGCATTAATTAAAAACCAATCAATGATATAACACAAGACCTGCTGCTATGAGACTCTTAGAAGATGCTGGGAAAGCCATGGGCCATTATCTTGATTATTTCTTGGTTACAATTCCAGAAGCATAAGTAACAAAGCAAACATGAACCAGTGGGATTATGCCAAGTTAAAGAAGCTGCTTTGGCCCAAGAGAAGCAAACAGTAAAAGGTAGCCTACAGACTAGGAAAACAACCAGATTTTAAAATGGGCAAAAGAGTGGAACAGTGATTTTTTCCAATGAAGGCATGTATGCACCAGCATCACTAACCATTAGAGGAAATTCTAAATGTGTGATTATTTTATGTTTTAGGGAATACCAAGAGAAGGCAGAGATTTTTTTTTGTTATTTTCATGTCAAAAGTTTCATTATACAAAATAACTTTAAACATTTATTTTATTTCTCTATGTTGATAAGTGTGGAGATGATTTGTGTATTATAGTTATTTATTGTATAAAGCAGAAATCCAGAGACATAGTAATGCTAGAAGAATAATTCTAAACTAAACTTAGAACGTGTTTGAAAAGCAATTTGAGGGACTTGGTTTTTTTTTTTTTACTTTTTTTTTTTACTTTGTTTTTGTTGTGATCCTGGCATGAAATTCAGGGCTTTAAGGATGTTAAATACACACTCTGTAACAAAGATATACCCCCAGCCCTTGATGGCTTTGCAGTGACAAACTGACTCAGTCTACCGAAGTGGCCTCTATATGTGTACATTTGTCTAGTCAAAATTGGAGGAAGAAAGACAGATATTATTATTGTAAAGATAGATCTGAATAGAAAGGAGAGAATTTTGAACCAGAAGTTAAAAAAGTGAGCATCCACAATGCACTAATAATCATTCAGAAGAAGTGGAAAGTCATTCATTAAAGTACATGGTCCCTGTTCATACCTCAGCTCTGCCATTTCCTGATGTGTGTGTAGACTTAATGTCTCTGGGTATGTTTTCATGTTTAGAAAAGTAGAAAATATTTGCTAGCAGATTGGGATTGTTGGGAGTAGAAAGTGGTAAACATTCATGAAATTAAGATGATCAGGGTTCTCTGGGAGTTGAGACTATGGGAACTGAGCAGGTGATTTGTGGTTTTGGGGTTTGAATCAAAGAGAGACAGATGTATCACAGTTGTGACAGTCTGAGAGGTAAAGGAAGGTTGAAGGCAACAAAGTCAGTGCAGAGAATAGTCCACTTTCCTGCTCTATATGCACTCTTTTTATATGGTTAATTTTCTATTTTAATCTAATTTTTAATAATATTTTTATTTTATGAAATTATAGCTTATAATTACATCATTTCCCCTCCTCTGTTCAACCCTTCCCATGTACTCTCATTTCTCTCTATAATTTATGACCTCCCTTTCTTTAATTGTTTTAAGAGTGTGTGTGTATATATATATATATATATATATATATATATATATATTCTTCATATATATACATATATGCCTAAATGTAAATACAACCTTCTCAGTTCATATCATGTTACTTGTATATAATATATATATATAATATGTAATATATTATTATATTATCTCAGGGCTGACCACTTGATATTAGATAGCCAACTGGGGGTGTTCTTCCCCGGGGAAGACTATTTCTCCTGGTCATTATTCCTTAGTTTACTGTAGTTCTTTGTCTAGAGTATGCCTTATGAGCTTTCCCCTTCCATGTTAGGATTTCTATTGGTATCATCTTTTTTAGTCAGCCACGATGATGAAACTTCATGCGTGTGGTTTCTCTGACATCTCTTGGAGACATAGTTTTACTACACGCTTCCTGTACCTCTGGCTCTTAAAAAAATTTCTGCTTCCTCTTCCAGAATAATTCTGCTTCAGGGATTGAGTTTGACTTTTAAGTATATACAGTGGGACCGGGTAGCACACAATTTTTTGTTTTCTACATTTTTTTAACCAGTTGTGGTTTTCTGTAATGGTCTATGTCTGTTGCAAAAAGAAGTTTCCTTGATGAGGCGTGAGAACTACACTTATCCGTGGGTAACAGGATAAATGCTTAGAATATAGTTAGTGACTATACCAGTTTAGTGGAATGGCAGTTATAGATTTTCCTTCAATATCCACAACTTCTCTAGTTTAGTGGAATGGCAGTTATAGGTTTTCCTTCAATATCCACAACTTCTCTAGTTTAGGTAGGCACAATTTCCCATTTGTTGGCAGGCCTTAAGTTCAATTAGAGAGTTGCTGATCACATCCAAGGTGTAAATGACACTACTTTGAAGTTATAATTTCGTTCATGGACATCATACCTGGGTAGGACTTTTGGTTGCTTTGCTCCCTCGGAAGTTTGCATGGTGTCCTCTGACACTAGGAAAGCTAATCCTCATCCAGAGACGAAACTTTTAGGTTAGATTCAGTTCAGGTTCTCTGGATCCTGTGTCCAAAGTAAGTACATGCTGTCTTTACCAACAGAGACTTACGTACCTCTGTGGGGCAGCCAAGGACAACAGCAAAAATATATAATGTTTGGGTCATCTCTTGAACAACCCTGACCAATAAATCAAAATTGTCCTTTTTATTTTGGTTACATAGCCCATGGGAAACTTTTGTTTAAATTACATACATATACACAGAATTTTGTATTGTATCTGTAATATTAGGTATATGCATAATAATAAGATTCGTTATGACTTTTCAGACATAGCTGCTTTTTTACTCTCTTCCTTTCTCCTGTACTTATATCACTCCCCTGTCCAATTTTAGTCCCATTGTCCAATTACCCTCTTAAGTCACTTGTACACTGCTAGTCCCCTTTCTATTGCTTCTCCCACCTTAAAGTCCCTTATAACTTTTCTTATTTCTGAAATTACTCCAGGTTATTGTACTCACATCTGAAGATTCTAGTTAGGAACTTCAGATGAAAGAGAACATGTAGCATTTGTCTTCCTGGGTCTGGGTTACCTCCCTCAATATAATCTTTTATTGTTCCATCCGTATTATCTACAAAGTTCATGATTTCGCTTTTCTTTACAGTTGAATAGAATTCCATAGTACACGTGTGCCACATTTCCACTATTCATTCATCAGCTGAAGGGCATTTGGGTTGTTTTCATTTCTATGTGAGGAGAGTGGCAGTGAACATGGCTGAGCAAGTATCTGTGAGTAGGATGTGCCAAGGAACAGTATGGATGGCCGCGTTTGGAGGTTTCTCCACACTGGCTTTCAGAGTGGCTACTTTTCAATCCTAGCCACAGTGAGTGAAGGTTTCCCTTCCACCACATCCCATTCAGCACTAATTACCAGTTATTTTGTTCTCCTTTGTCATTCTGGCTGGGGTAAGATGAAATCTCAAAGCTGCTTTGGTTTGCATTTCCCTAACTTTAAGGAAAACATATATATTCTTTTAACTACTTCTTAGTTGTTTTATTTCTTCTTTTGGAAACTAACTGTTCAGATACCAAGCTCAAATATTTTGAACAGGTTGTTTGTTATTTGAGTTCTTTATGTAGTCTATTTTTTTTTAATTTTTAAATTGATTTTATTGAGCTATATTTTTCTCTGCTTCCTTCCCTTGCTCTCCCTTCCACTTAAACACTCTCCTATGGTCCCCATGCTCCCAATTTACTCAGGAGATCTTGCCTTTTTCTATTTCCCACGTAGATTAGATCCATGAATGTCTCTCTTAAGGTCCTCATTGTTGTCTACGTTCTCTGGGATTGTGAATTGTAGGCTGGTTTTCTTTGCTTTATGTCTAAAAGCCACTAATGAGTGAGTACATTTGATAATTGTCTTTCTGGGTCTGGGTTACCTCACTCAATATGATGTTTTCTAGATCCAAGCATTTGCCAGCAAATTTCAAGATATCATTATTTTTAATGTAGTACTCCATTGTGCAAATATACCACATTTTCCTTATCCGTTCTTCGATGGAGGATCATTTAGGTTGTTTCCAGGTTCTGACTATGACGAACAATATGGCTATGAATATAACTGAGCACATGTCCTTGTGGTATGATTGAACATTCTTTGAGTATATACCCAAAAGTGGTGTTGCTGGGTCTTGAGGAAGGCTGTTTCCTAATTTTCTGAGAATTTGTCATATTGATATCCAAAGAGGCTGTACCAGCTTACACTCGCACCAGCAATGAAGGAGTGTTTCCTTTTCCCCACAACTTGTCAAGCATAAGTTGTCATCAGTGCCACCTAGTTTTCTTGGGTGAATTTGCTTCATTTTTGTCCGAAAGTTTTCACATGTTCTGTTAATTCACCAGTGTGGGATTTTTCCAGCTTCTTTATGTAGGCATTTAGTGCTATGAACTTTCCTCTTAGTACTGCTTTCATTGTGTCTCATAAATTTGGGTATGTTGTGTGGTCATTTTCTTTGAATTTTAGGAAGTCTTTAATTTCTCCCTTCATATATATTCCTTGACCCATTGATGCTTCAGGTGAGCCGTTTTACATTTCCACATGTTTCTGGGATTTCTGGAGTTAGTGTTGTTGAGTTCTAATATTAAGCCATGATGATCCGATAAGATATATGGGGTTATTCCAATTATTTCTATCTGTTGAGGTTTGTTTTGTTTCCTAGTATGTGGTCAATTTTTGAAAAGGATTCATGAGGTGCTGAGAAAAAGGTATATTCTTTTATGTTTGGATGGAATGTTCTGTAGATGTCTGTTAAGTCCATTTGAGTCATAACATCTGTTTGTTTTCTTCTTTCTCTGTTGATTTTATGGTTGACCAACCTTTTCAGTGATGAGAGTAGGGCGTTTAAGTCTCCCACTATTAGTGTGTAGGGTTTAATGTGTGATTTAAACTTTAGAAGTGTTTCTTTTACATATGAGGGTGCCCTTGTATTTGGGGCATAGATGATCAGTATCGAGATTTCTTCTTGATGGATTTTTCCTGTGACTAATATGAAATGTCCTTCTTTGTCTCTTTTGATTGATTTTAGTTTGAAGCCTACTTTTTTTAGATATTAGGATAGCTACACCAGCTTGTTTTGTAGGTCCATTTGATAGGAAAATTTTTCCCAACCTTTTAATCTGAGGCAATGTTTGAGGTGTGTTTTTTGTGTGCAATAGAAGGATCAATTCTGTTTTTATATCCAATCTGTTAGCCAGTCTTTTCTAGGTGACTTGAGTCCATTTATATTAATGGATATTAATTACTAGTGATTGATAGTTGCTTTTATTTTAGGTTTTCATTGTTGATAATGTTACTGTGTATATTTTTCTTTCTTTGGGATTTGGTGCTATGAGATCAACAATTGTCTGTGCTTGTGTTGATCAAACCAACTTCCTTGAGTTGGAGTTTTCCTTCTAGTACTTTGTGTAGGGCTTGGTTTGTGACTAGGTAATGATTAAATCTAATTATGTCATGGAATATCTTGTTTTGTCCTTCTATGGTGATTGAAAGTTTTTTCTGGTATAGTACTCTGGGCTGGCATCCATGGTCTCTTAATGTCTGTATAACACTTGGCCATGTCTGTATAACATTTGAATGGCTTTCATTATTTTCATGGGAAAGTCAGGTGTAATTCTGATAGGTTTACCTTTATATGTTACTCGGATTTTTTTCTTTTGCAGCTCTTAATATTCTTTCTTTATTCTGTATGTTTAGTGTTTTTATTATTATCTGGTGTGGGGACCTTTTTTTATCCAGTTTATTTTATGTTCTGTAAGCTTCTTACATCTTCATAAGCTTATCTGTCCTATGGTTGGAAAAGTTTTCTTCTATGATTTTTATATATATATTTTCTGTGCTTTTGAGTTGAACTTCTTCTCCTTCTTCTATAGCTATTATCCTTAGGTTTGGTTTTTTCATGGTGTACCATATTTTCTGGATATTTTATGTTAAGCTTTTGTGAGATTTAATGTTTTCTTTGAATGATGAGTCTATTTCCTCTATTGTATCTTTCGTGCTTGAGATTCTTTTCTTCATCTCTTGTATTCTCCTGTTTATGCTTGCCTTTGTGGTTCCTGATTATTTTCTCATGATTTCTGTTTCTATAATTCTCTCAGCTTTTGCTTCTTTATTGTCTTTATTTCAGTTTTCAAGTCTTAAATGGTTTCTTTCACATGTTTGATTGCTTTTATTGGTTTTCTTTAAGGAATTTGTTGATGATTATTGTTTGTCTTTTCCTCCATTTCTTTGAGGTAATTTTTCATTTCCTCTTTAAGGGCCTCAACAATTCTCCTAAAGTTATTTTTAGGTCATTATCTTCTGTTTCATCTATATTTGGTTGTTCAAGTCTTGCTGTTGTTGGGCCACTAGTTTTTATTGGTGTCGTGTTGCTCTTTGTGGTATTGTGTATGTTCTTACCTTGTCTACCCATCCTTTTATCTGATTGGTATAGTTGGGGCTGTCTATGTCTTTGTGTTGCAAGAGGGGCCACTTATTGGTCCTGGACACCCAGAAACAAAATAACCACACAGAAATCATATTATTTAAATCACTGTTTGTCCCATTACCTCTAACTTCTTATTGGCTAACTCCTCCATCTTAATTTAACCAATTTCTATTAATCTGTGTTTTGCCTCATGGCTGTGGCTACCGGGTATAATTTCCAGCTTCTATCTGTGGTGACTCCATGATGTCTCTCTCTCTGCTTTCCTTATCCCAGAATTCAGTCCAGTTTTTTCCGTGCTGACCTAAGTTCTGTCCTAAACAGTTTCTTTATTCATTAACCAATAAAAACAACACATAGACAGAAGGACCTCCCACATTATTTTCCCTTTTCTGTTTAAATAAAAAAGGATGGTTTTAACTTTTAATATAATAAAACTACATATAACAAAAAAGACATAAAGTAAGAACTATAGTTACAATATTTATATCTACTTTATCTTTTATCATAACTAAGGAAAACCATAGCTATAACTATAAGTTCTTCAGCTCCATCAATGTCTCCAGAAGGATATAATATAACCTAAGTCAATGGGAAGTTCACTGTAAGCAACTTCCAAAACTCTAGAATAGACAGAGACATCCTGCTGCCTGGACAGTCAACCAAAATTCTTCTGTACTTTTGAGGCATCTATCTTCATCCTACAGGCCCATAGTCTCCAGCAGATTTTTCCATGAAGCAGGAAATTTCAAAGACTATTTTGACAATATTGGCAATTTGCCAGTCACTTTATTTTGTATCCTACAGAATGTCTAGTAGAGCTTTCATGAAGCAGGAACCCCAAAGAACCATCTTACTTTTAGATAAGTTCATCAGTCATTTTTCTGTGGGTCCTGTATATCCAGTTTATACAGCCAGGCAAGAGCAGTTTCTTGCCCAAATGGCTAACAATGTCCATATGGAGCCTCTACCATGCCCATCTTCCATTTGTAGTAGACTGGTGATGCCAGGAACAGATATGTCTCACTGTCATGAAAAGTCCTAAATTTTAAAAGCATTTAAATACCATATTCTGAAAGTCTCTGAAAGAATTGAAGAATACCTATCTAACTGAAATATATCTCTATACATCTAGAAAATCTAGCATGACTACAAGCTTAACTGTTATAGATGAGTATCTATTAACTTATGTGTCTTAATTATACATTACACTTTTAAAGAGCTACACAAACACAACACCTTAATCAAGATCAGAAATACATATACATATAACAAAATTGACCTTAAATTTGTATGAATAAACCAAGATCCATACCAATGCGAAGTATCTATCTCTATAGCATATCCCCCATTAAATGTAAAGAAACTTTTACAAACAATATTTGGGAATATGGATACAGTTCTGTCTAAACTTCTTTATGCTGTTTATTGGGTGAAGTATTTTCTTTGTGGGAGCATTTACAGCAACCTTTCAGAGGGTCTTGTTCCATCAAACCACACCAGTCTGGAAGCAATCCATAGGTTCTCATCTTCTGTGAAAACAAAAGAACCTCTCTTCCAAAGCAACATATCCTTAGACTCAAATTTTGGAATCAAGATACCTTTATGTTGGTTTAAATTATCAATCCATACAATGAAGAGCCATACTCTGTACTTAGCTCCTT